CCTCTCCTCTCCTCTCCTCTCCTCTCCTCTCTGTAGTTAAGCATTTAAGCATTTTTGCATGATATTTTATGAAAAGTCATGGCAATTGCTAAACACTGCAGTTTTGTTTGACTTGTTAAAAAAACTGCTCCACCAGGATGTGATGTGTCACCTGCCATAGATTACAAGGACTCATGTGTGCAGTGAGCAGAGCTCAGCTGATGTGTGGTACCATGCCATAGGGAGCAGAATGTCATGGAGCCTCCCTCCTTAGGGATATTGAAAAACCTCTAGACAGGGTCCTGGACAGCTGGCTTTAGGTGGTCCTGCTTGAGCAGGAGGGTTGGACAAGACAGCCTCCAGAGGTCCTTCCAACCTCGGCTGTGCTTCTCTGTCTGAATACTTAGTCCTAGTTGGAGTTAAAATAACAGAATCATAGAATGGTTTGGGTTGGAAGATACCTTAAAGATCATCTAGTTACAACCCCCCTGCATGGGCAGGGACACCTCCCACTAGACCAAGTTGCTCCAAACCCTATCCAACCTGCCTTTGAACACTTCCATGCATAGGTCATCTACAACTTCCCTGTACAGCCTGTTCCAGTGTCTCGCCACCCTCACAGTAATGTATTTCTTTCTAATCTCTAACCTAAATCTCCCCTCTTCCAGTTTAAAGCCACTCCCCCTTGTCCATTGCTACAAGCCCTTGTAAGAAGCCCCTCCTCAGCTTTCCTGTAGCCCCTTCAGGCACTGCAAGGCCACTATAAGGTCTCCCCAGAACCTTCTCTTCTCCAGGCTGAACAACCCCAACTCTCTCAGCCTGTCTGTGTAGCAGAGGTGCTCCAGCCCTCTGACCATCTTCATGGCCCTCCTCTGGACTCACTCCAAGACCTCCATGTCCTTGTGTTGGGGGCCCCAGAACTGAACACAATACTCCAGATGGGATCTTACAAGAGCAGAGCAGAGGGGCAGAATCACCTTCCTTGATGTGCTGACCACATTTGTTTTGATGCAGCCCAGGACACTGTTGGCTTTCTGGGCTTCAATTGCACATTTCCTGCTCATGTTGAGCTTTTCATCAACCAACACCCCCTAAGTCCTTCTCCTCAGGGCTGTTCTCAATCCATCCTCTGCCCAACCTGTATTTTTACTTGGGATTGCACTGACCCTTTCAGTTGCCCTTGTTGAACTTCATGATGTTGGTATTTATGTATGTGTACACAGGAAGGCTTAAACAAACTGGTTTTATTGTACTGACCATCTAAATGACAATATCCATGCTTATGTTAGTTTCTCTTTTATAAGCTTCTTCTACATTCTTCTATTGGGCTTTTTTCTCACCTTGTTTATGACTTGCATGTAGTTAAACACATGCATACTTTGGCTAGCTCAGTCTGTATTGCAGTTCAATCTAGAAGTGAGGCCCTGTTTTTTTGGAGAAGGGAGAAGGGTGATTCCTGCAAGCAAGCTACTGAGTTTTTTTATTCTGTTCTTGTCAGTTGTGTTCTTAAAGAGTGATTTTTACATATGTTACTATAATTGTGTATCTTCTTTCAGTTTATCAAGAAGTTTTACAATGAAACTTGGGAAAGAAGATATGGCTTCTCAGTGGATGAAAGCACACTGACTCTCCTCTGGTCTATAACTGTTTCTATTTTTGCCATTGGTGGCCTTGTGGGTGCCATTATTGTTACGCCAATTGTGAAGTTCTTCGGACGGTAAGTGTACTGGGAAAATTCTAGTTTCTAAAGCAGTTCCTTACTTGGTCTTTTTAATAAAAAAATCCAAAACTGTGGCTTTAAAATTTATTTATTTAAAAAAAAAAAAAAAAAAGTCTTCATCAGAATGTAAATTTAAACATCTTCAAATTATGAAATCTCATTTCTAAGAGTTCCAAGTTTCCAAGCATATAATTAGTACCTTTCTCTCTGGCCTTACTGTGCATTGTTTGAGTCATAAAAGCCATTTGTTCTGAATTGGCGATGGGCTGAGATGTCAAGGAGATTGAATTATCAAGAATTCAAAAGGAAAATACCATAAAATAGGAAAGATTGCACAAAGCATTGGGAGATTCTTGTTCCACGAGTCTGCTGAGTATCTTAATGTACATAAATAAAGCTATCAATGTCTTATTTCTTCTCAACATTTGTCGTCATACAGTAATAAAAATTTGCCTTTATTTTTCTTCCTTGTGTCAACTAAAATACAGTTTGAAGAACTAAACTAGGGTAAAGTTTATGTTTAGTCTTCCCCAAGCTTGGGGATGCCTTCCCCACTTGAAACAATGCAGTATCTGACCAATTGTTGACCATAGGGAACAAGAGTATTTTAGGAATGTTTGTTCTTGTATGTGTTTGCATTTTTACTGCAGGTACAAGTACGTGTTTCTGTCAAAGTTCTGTTTTGTACAGTCTTGCAAAGATAATTTAAAAAATAATTTGTAATTCACTTACATTTAGAAGTGCATGGAAAAACAAGCCATTTTTGCATTCACCTCAACTGCTCACTTGGATTTTTCTTAATTGTAGATTCTATATCAATGGATAATTTTTTTTCTCAGTTAAGTAACTGGAGAAGGTCATAATGGAGGCTTAAATATAAGCATCAACCTGCATCGTTTTTACCTTTCTGTTCTATATTTTTGCCATTTCTATCACCTTAGATTTTACTGTCGTTTACCCAACTCCTCTACATCCCATTTTTCACCTCAAAGAGTATGTTTTCAGGTTCTTCCATTTCCTGCTTACATTCAGTATTCTCTGCAAATCTATTATCCATTCTTTGTTTAATTATACTGTCCCTTCAACATGTGATTTTCAATGTTTTTCAATTTTTTTTGTTAAAATATTTTTCATAGTCACATTATTTATATTTTTTTAGGTTTTCAGTTTCTTTCATCAAATAATCAATTTGGCTTTTAAACACTTCTTAGATATAATGAACTATGCCTGACTGAGACTATCATTCTCAGAATTGTCACTGAGTCATCTTTATTAAGAAAGGAAGCAAAGAATTGGTTCATAAATGGGTTGAATTTTTGGTGAAGAGTAGAATAGCTTTGGTGCAGGTTTGTTAAAGTGATGGCTGATCTCAGTCATATGAATACCATTTTTATGAGAGCAGATCATATTTTCAGAGCAGAGCTTTAAATTTTGCAGACTCTGCCCCTGTTTATTATGTTTATTCCTATTAAATAGTGAAAACAGCTCTCTTATGGTATTCTAGTAGGTGATTAGAGATGAGAGTGGATTGCATCTCTCAGGGACACTGGATAAAGGCTGCTCATCAGGGTGGTTCTTGAACTCACTGTTCACACTGCAGTGTGTTTGCCTGGTCTGGGAAACCAGACTGATGTATCAGTGCTGTAATTGAGGAGCACGTTATGAAATGTTGACAGAACAATAAAATACTTGGCTGTTAAATTGTTCAAGTGTAGGCTGGAGGGTTGTATGTATGAAGAAGCTGAGCTCCATTTACACTGAAATGGAATAATGGGCTAAGGGGGATCAAAAGCATTAGTCAGAAATGATATATGACTTTAAAAAGAGTACTCTTGAATCATATTGCTGTAAGGTTAATAACATAATTTCCAAATTACCAGATTCCTCGGCCCTACTTACTTCCAGAGAGATGTAATTTTTTTCAGAGAGTCTTCATTCACATAAGCAGAAGTCCCATGTTCAGACGTGGCTTTGACACTTAGTAATTTAAATTATCTTTTTCTACTGAAGAGCAGGTGCTGTGGCATAACCTGAACACCCAGAGTGATCTGCTCAGTGAATTACTGAGGCCACTGCTCAGAAGGCATTTGCAGGAGAGGGACTAGGCCTTCCCTCCAGCACAGCAAACTGTTTTGAGTGTGAAGCTATTAAGGGAATTTGTCTGGATTTTCTTAATAATGCTTTGCTTGTTTTATTCTGAAGTCATCTGCTGTAGTTGAAATGGTGATCCAGTAGTCAGCTGTTACTGGCTTCAACAGGTTGTTATTTAAACACCCAGTTTCCTTATTATACTTTCTGTGCAAGTGTCCTATTTGCTCTCATGTGGAACTTCTTTCTTATTACTGAATTTTGAGACAAGAGTACATTCTAATTAAAATTATTGCAGCTGTGGAAGGCATGTAGTCTCTAGAATTGTTTTGGCCTCTGCAATAATCCAATATTATGAGAGCAAGTGGCAACCTTGAGACCACAAGATACCAATGATATGTGATTTTCTGAAAACCCAGGGAAAATTCTGAGGAAGAGATTCTCAGGAGTTTGAAATATCCAAAACGCCTGAAAAAGAAGGCAGAAAAACTTCTTAAGGCTTAGCTCTATTTGTGTCTAGCTGATGGGTGAACTCTGTCTCAGCTGGAAACAGTATAGAAACTGATTTCTACAGAGCAAAAGCTCTTCTCTCAGGACTGTTTCAGCTTGAGTACCGGATTGAAAGTTACATTTCTCCAATGATACAAATAGCCAGGATAAGCGGTTTTGGTACTAAGTTGCAAAACTTACTGTTTAGGATCCTTGGGACAAATACTATGTGTTCAATCAGAAGTTTTTGAAAGCATCTTCCTTTTGGAATACAGAAGTGCTTGATTTCTTTTGGCTGAAGAAAATTCTGAATTATTTAACTGGAAGGAACAAAAATCTTCACATCTAAATGAATGCCAACCTAGTATTTTTAATGAAATAGCTGCAGCAGAACCATGTGGGTCTTTGGACTGGAACTTGAGCCCAGGTTCCCTTTCCCAACTCTGGGACTGTTTTGTACATCATAGAATCATAAAATCATTAAGGTTGGAAAAGACCTTTGAGATCATTAAATCCAACCTTCAGTCCCACACCCCTGTGACCACTAAACCATGTCCTGAAGCACCATGTCTACCCATTTTTTTAATACCTCCAGGGATGGTGCCTCCACCACCTCCCTGGGCTGCCTGTTCCAATACCTCACCACTCCTTCTGTGAGGAAATCTTTCCTAACATCCAATCTGAACCTTCCCTGGAACAACTTGACCCCATTTCCTCTTGTCCTGTTGCTCATCACTAGGGAGAAGAGGCAAACACCCACCTCACTACAACCTTTCAGATAGTTGTGGAGAGCAATGAGGTCTCCCCTCAGCCTTCTCTTCTCCAAGTTGAACAGCCACAACTGCCTCAGCCTCTCCTCATAAGACCTGTTCTCCAGACCCCTAATCAGCTTAGATGCCCTTCTCTGCACCCTCTCCAGCACCTCAATGTCCTTCCTATGCTGTGGTGCCCAGAACTGCACACAAAGCTCAAGGTGCGGCCACACCAAGGCCAAGTAGAGGGGTAAGGTCACCTCCTTGGTCCTGCTAGGTTGAGTGCACTTCACTGTCTATGCCTCTGTTTGCCCAGTTACAAAAATAGAGATATTGATATGCTCTAGAAGATTCAAGACTAAAAAATTAAATGTGCTACATGAGAACTAGTTATTATATGTATACTTCAGTAGGTGTCATGTACCATTTGGACAGTTGCTTGATGAGGTTGTGATTTGGGATGTGAAAGGAGTGATCAGCCTGAGCTACGCATCACTGTGTGTCTATTCCTACAATGGCTTAAGCGTGGTGAGCATAGCTATCTGACAAGCTTGGTTGGACTTTCCCTAGACAAAGTGTCTGCTGTGGTGCTTTATGAAGTGTGATATCTTTGTATCACTTCTATTAGAGCTATACAGGCAGTCGTTTTTTGGGGCGGTTTTATTTGTTTCTTTTTTTATGCTTTGTTGCTAAGGTAAGACAGTGTTGCCCTCTGTGACCAGGAAGGCATGGCTTTTTTAAGTTCATAACAAACATGTGTATAACATGATCTGACTGCAGCTAAACTGAGACAGGATGGGGTGTGTGGAGGAATTTGCTGCATCTTTTCCTAGGAGC